TAAACATCCTGTGAAAATGTGAGGTTATTTCAACAATATTATTGTCCTGTGAAATGATGATCACATTTTTTCGGACACCGTGTGAACACAGTTTGTGGCTCTAAAATCATGAACTCAGTACTGGAGTTTGCGTCTTTTACTGTTTAAAAATAGTGAATGAGTCACTTTCACTTCCTCTGCTCCTCAACTGTTTTTGGTACAAGATCTAAACTGAACTCCTGGAGTTGAGCTCTGGTCCTTCAACCTCACACACGTCCAGACTCACACCTGGAAGATCTTTATGTAGAACCACAAAACTAAACCATAAACCTGTGACAAATACAAAGAGGGAAAAAAACTGAGGCACTCAAAAAGTACAAAATAATTAAAAGCCTTTAATACCACATGGCAGATAAAGTTAAAATACGCCAACGCGTTTCGGCCCTTCGGCTTCATCAGGGCAAACTCCAGATGTTTCTCACAGTGCAGATTTAAAGTCATAGGTGTAGGTCACATGTTCACAGTGGGCTGGCCCACAGTCCCCTAGATGCATGATGGGACATGTAGGCCTAACAAACCTTAATTATAGGCTAAACAAATTCAAATACAATAATACAAGACATAAATGGTGCAAATCCCAACAACCAATACATAGAAAGATACATTATATGAAAATAGTATAAAAGTATAAAAAGATACATAGTGTAAGGATATACATAGTGCGATAACTCAAAAGTGCTTCAGCTATAGTTTGTATAATATAGTTAAGGGTTAGTCTTAAATAATTTCAAGAAGACAGGGATATTAAACTCAGCCTAGACTACTCCTTATCAGAAATACATTTCTTAGATTTAAATATTTATAAGGACCTTGATGGGGATTTACATAGCACAATTTTCAGAAAACTAACTGATCGAAATACAATTTTAAAAGCAGACAGCTTTCACCCCCCATGGTTGCTTCAGAATGTCCCTTATGGTCAGTTTCAAAGACTACGGCGGATTTGTGATACTGAGTCTAACTTTGAAAAAAATGCTCAAGATATGAGCTGTAGATTCAAAAACAGAGGCTACACAGACAGTACTTTGTCTTTAGCCTACAATCGAGCCAAAAGTCTTAATAGAGAAGAACTATTGACTCAGAAACCAAAGAAAAATGTGAGTACTAATCAAGTGTATTTTGTAACTGAATATGGCACTGAAGCAAACCGAATCAAACAAATAATCAAACAGAACTGGAGTATATTAAGAAGCGACAGCACCTTAAGAGACGCTCTCCCAGAGACGCCCACCATCACCTTTAGAAAAGCCCCAACGCTCAGTGATCGACGAGTGAACAGTATCTCCCTCCTTTGAAACAAAAGACATGGTTGGACACTAAGGCTGGTTGTTACAGATGTGGTAACTGCACCTTTTGTGAACATGTACAACAGACGAACTTATTCATGGACATTAACTCAGGTCAAAGTTTTTATATTAGAACATTAATAAATTGTAACACTACCTATGTAGTATACAGACTTGAATGCCCATGTGGTCGTTTTTACGTAGGCCGAACAAAACGCAAATTGAAAAACAGACTGGCTGAACATAAACAGGCTATAAGGACATATAACCCCCTGTATCCTATGGCCGTGCATTACAAAGAAGCCAACCATGGCAGCTGGAAAAGCCTAAAAGTCTGTGCAATTGAACATATTAAAGAAACAATAAGAGGAGGAGATAGACTGAAAATCTATAACAGAGCGAGACCTACTGGATCTACACTCTCAAGGCCACACAGTTTCCAGGACTCAACGGAGAGTTAGATTTCTCCCTTTCCTTTAAAACTACGAGCTTTAAATGTGTAATCGATCCTTGTTCTATATCCCTGTCTTCATGAAATTATTTAAGACTAACCCTGAAATATATTATACAAACTATAGCTGAAGCACTTTTGAGTTATCGCACTATATTATATATCCTTACACTATGTATCTTTTTATACTTTTATACTATTTTCATATAATGTATCTATGTATTGGTTGTTGGGATTTGCACCATTTATGTCTTGTATTATTGTATTTGAATTTGTTTAGCCTATAATTAAGGTTTGTTAGGCCTACATGTCCCATCATGCATCTAGGGGACTGTGGACCAGCCCACTGTGAACATGTGACCTACACCTATGACTTTAAATCTGCACTGTGATAAACATCTGGAGTTTGCCCTGATGAAGCCGAAGGGCCGAAACGCGTTGGCGTATTTTAACTTTATCTGCCATGTGGTATTAAAGGCTTTTAATTATTTTGTACTTTTTGAGTGCCTCAGTTTTTTTCCCACTTTGTATTTGAGACTGGTCCCTACACTGAAGAGCACCAAAAGGACATTTCTTCACATTTTTTGCATATCCAAATAGCACTCCTGCCTCCAAAGCCTTGCATAAACCTGTGACGTTTGTGGAGACACGGACTCGTACTTTTCTACAGAGCACTTCCAGAACACACCAGGTGAAACGTAAAGATACTGGTGATATTTTTTTTGTCTGCTGTCGTGGTAAATCGTGTCTCTGCCTCAGTCCAGAGTCTGTGGATCTCACCTCTGCCTACAGGGCGTGGAGAGGAGGAGGGGCCCCCCGGAGCCCTGAGAGCTTCTGTCGAGGAGGAGGAGGACGAGATGTTCCGTTCGCTCTCGTCTGATCCAAAGGCCCGGGAGACTCAGGACATGCTGTGCACGGCCTCACCACAGGGGGCGCTGTGGGTCAGGGCATCGTTTCTGTCACAAACAAAGTCAAACACACAGAACTGGAATTACAACACGAAGCACACAAGGACAGATCTCTTTATGGGGCAAAGATAAGATTACACAGTCAGACCAAACGTATCAGCTGTTCTCGGTCTGCAGAGTCATGATTTAAAGAGGAACTGAACAATTAAACAAGTTTATTTTTTATAAATATGTGTGTGTGTGTTTTAGCAGAATGACCTCCTGATCATAGACATTTTTGAGCATTTTTTTGTATGTAAAATAAGTAAATTTCCAGCTTTCTGGTCAAAAATGTCTAAATCTAAGAGTGTGTTGTGTTCCGTGGCCTCTGTTATTTCAAGTACTACATGACATCACACAGAACTGCCTGATCACAGGCTGCAGGGCGGAGTCTGAGGTGTGGAAACTGTCAGACCAAACAAATCAGAATCAATATCGTTTGGGAACCAAAATGCTGGTTCCCGACAGGAACCAAGAAAAAGTTGTTTTTTCTAAGTGAACGGTGACACAGAGGACGTGAGCAGCTTCATCCAGGTCACACACGGGAAAATAAATGAAGAAAACATTTGTGGAACATGGACGAGAACAAACAGCGTCGCTGTCGCCTTCTCCACAGAAGATGTTTCTCCAGAAGATGTTTCTCCACGGCAGATGTTTGTCCACGGCAGATGTTTCTCCACAGAAGATGTTTCTCCACAGAAGATGTTTCTCCACGGCAGATGTTTGTCCACGGCAGATGTTTCTCCACAGAAGATGTTTCTCCAGAAGATGTTTCTCCACAGCAGATGTTTCTCCACAGAAAATGTTTCTCCACAGAAAATGTTTCTCCAGAAGATGTTTCTCCACGGCAGATGTTTGTCCACGGCAGATGTTTCTACACGGCAGATGTTTCTCCACAGAAGATGTTTCTCCACAGAAGATGTTTCTCCACAAAAGATGTTTCTCTACGGCAGATGTTTCTCCACAGAAGATGTTTGTCCACGGCAGATGTTTCTCCAGAAGATGTTTCTCCACGGCAGATGTTTCTCCACAACAGATGTTTCTCCACAGCAGATGTTTCTCCACACAGATGTTTGTCCACGGCAGAGTTTGGTGCAGATAAATAATGTTTGTCTGAGTACAAACACTCGCTGGTGTCGATGGTTTGATCCATGATTGTTATTTCATACGTCCTTGTTTTTATTTGGTGGTAAATCCACTCCTTCTGTCGATGATGCATCATGAGTTTAAACGTGGGTCGTTCACCGGTGAACACTTTGGTTCTCAGTGGATCTGGTGCAGGAACTGGCACCGTTCTGTCCGGCCTGAAAACAGCTGGAATCCTTCAGTGGTTCAGGTCCATCTCTGTCCTGTCAATGGGACTTTTTTTATTATCAGTACCTGCTCAATGAAGATCTTGTTTCGATACTTTAATCTGTGATCTACATACGTCCTTTTGTTTGACCTGAATTCAAACACAGGTGTTTATCTACCGCAGGTAACAGAGCTGCAGCCTGGAGCCACTCAGTCTTATCATTTCTTATCAGAGCTGATAAAAACACATGCTCCAGTCCGACCGCACCCACCACGATCTAATAAAACCACAGCAACAATCACTATACACTATAACTATACACCAGCTTTCAATTCAAGTTTATTTATACAGCACATTTAAAACAACTTCAGCTCACCAAAGAGCTTCACATAAAAAACTTCACTGTTAAGTATGAATATTCTCACAGTTCACAGGGACTCGTATCCAGCTTCATGACAGTTAAGATCCACAGATGCTTCAGGGACCTTGAAAAACCCGAGAAACCAAAGCTCCCAGACTCTACTCAAGACATAATACTTTTCTTTTTCATAATCCTCTTTTGACTTACCCAATAAAACCCTTCTGGAATATTTTTAGAACAGTTCTGTTTGTTATCAGAAGCACTATGACGTAACCTGGTGAAGTTATGTTTTTATTGTGGTTAAAGTGCATATGAGACGTTTAAGACCCAGAAAAACTTTATTGATCCACAAGAGAAATGACTTGGACACAGTAGCTCATACATCACATTATATTACAATAACAAAGAGTAAATATATATATATGTATAAATGGTCATAAAAAATAGCAATAGAGTGGTGCCTTTCCCAATAAGGTTTTCATGTTTTTCTAATTCTGACCTGGTTTGGTGGGTCGTACCTGTGCTCAGTATTTATCAGTTTTACACTAGTTCAGTTCAGTGGAAGCCCATTTCTGCCAGTAAATTAAAAAAAAATAAAAGCCTCACAGAAACTCATAATTATGACTTTTAAACTTGCAATTGTGACTTTTAAACTCGTAAACTCGTAATTATGACTTTTAAACTCATAATTAAGATGTTTAAACTCGTAATTATCACTTTTAAACTCATAATTGTGATTTTTAAACTTGTAATTATCACTTTTAAGCTTGTAAACTTGTAATTATGACCTTTAAACTCATAATTAAGATTTTTAAACTCGTAATTATGTTTAAACTCATAATTATCACTTTTAAACTCGTAATTGTGTTTAAACTCGTAATTATGACTTTTAAACTCGTAAACTTGTAATTGTGACTTTTATGACTTTTAAACTTGTAGTTGTGACTTTTAAACTTGTAATTATGACTTTTTTAAACTCCTAATTATCACTTTAAACTCATTATGACTTTCTGTGAGGCTTTTATTTTTTATTTACTGTATATTATATATAATATATATATATTTATTATAATATTATTATATATAAATATTATAATATTTTTGTAAAAGATAGAGTTCATCAATTAAAAAAGATTTCTGTAATAGATTTTATTTTCTCTGCATAAATATTTGAACTTCTTGTTATTTTTGGGGTTTATATGACATGAGTTTTCTGATCCGGACACTTTGGATCAAAGTCGTTTGGACACGACCCCCGGAACAAAATGAGTTTGACACCTCTGGGTTAGAAGTAGAGCCCGACCGATATTTTGGTTGGCCGATATTATCGGACGATATGAGCACCTGGAAGCATATTGGCTATCAGCCGATATGTTTGCTGTTATGGGCCGATATTTCACGTGGGCATGTTAAACCTCGTTATAAATCTTAGACTCTCTACATTCTGTTCATTTAATCAATTTACAGATAAATGTCCTAATATGTGACTCCACATCAGTATTTATCTGTGGAGTCATTTGTGTGTGTGTGTGTGTGTGTGTGTGTCGTACTGTCCCTGAACACACCACAGAGTCACGTCACACAGTGTGTTTGTTTACACTCACACACACAGATCCAAACACTGAGATTATTTTCTTTTTATGGACAATCGGTTTGAGTCCGGATTAAAAGGACATTTATTAGTTCAGACTTGTGATGTGGGAGGAGCCTGTGTGATGTGGGAGGAGCCTGTGTGAGGCTGAGTGTTGGAAATATGTCGACTTTGAAGCTAGTTTTGCTTATTTGTTACTGTTAGCGATTAGCTGCTGTAGCTCCCGCACATAAACAGTCTGTTTTCTGTTGGTCTATTGTAAAGTGAATATATTGTCTGTATATTTGTTTCTGGACCTGCATTGATGTAAATGAGCTGTGAATAGACGTGTGAATGATCAACATTTACACATATCATTAATCACCGCGGCGCGCAGCATTTACAGCTAAAGGCTAATAGCGGTAGTTTATTTACTCGCTAGTAGTGATGAGTCGGTTGTGAACGAAGCGGCTCTTAGATCCGGCTCTTTGAAGCGAACGACGGGAGCCTGATCCTTATTAGGAGCCGTGTTTTCTCTTTCTCTCACTTTTTTTTCTCTTCACGCCGCGTACAGACTCGTGGGAGTTTGACAGCGGCAGCGGCTCAAAACGAAACTTCCAGAAATCTGCATGTGCATAGGGCAAAAAAAAAACGTGCATAAATATATTCAGCATAAAATAAATAAACCAGGATCAACTAATCTTGGGGTCAAGAGACGGAGAGAGATAGAGACCGAGTCCCAAGTCCTGGTTCAGTTCTGGTTCAGTTCTGCTTTAGTCCTGTGACATATCATGTAAAGAGGCAAAATAACAATAAATGTCGTCTAAATAAACCCAGGTTAAAATCCACTAGAGCCAAACCTAAGTTTTCTTTTTTAATAATTCAAGATTTACAGTGAATTTTTACATCACTAAATATATCGGTGATTATATCGGCAGCTCCATCTCCCATTATATCGGTATCATATCGGCCACAACAAAATCCATATCTGGTCGGGCTCTAGTTAGAAGTTGCGAGAGGAAACCATCGTGTCAGTTATGTCACCGAGTCACTAAAGACTTAATCTCAGTTAAATATTGACTTGAGTCTAAAACACACACCAGCAGCTGTTCGTCTCTCACACACTCGATTTAATCGTCTGTTCTGTCCACGAGGTTATTCTAGTACTGCCCCGAAGGACACGTGAACGAACTCTAATCTCCAACAACAACTGACACTTTTGAGCTTTCCTCCTCGTTATGACCTCGTTTCCTCATCAGACTCATACGGAAGCCGAGAGGGTCACGACAAACGCAAACGCCGCGACAAATACAAACGCGACAACACAAACGCAAATGCCACAACACATTAAAAAGCCACAACACATTAAAAAGCCACAACACACCAAGAAAAAGCCACATCGGAAGTTACCGCGGGACTCTATTTTAATGCAAACGCCGTAACAAATACAAACGCCACAACACATTAAAAAGCCACAACACATTAAAAAGCCACAACACAAACACAAAAGCCACAACACATTAAAAAGCCACAACACATTTAAAAGCCACAACACATTAAAAAGACACAACACATTAAAAAGCCACAACACACCAAAAAAAAGCCACATCTGAAGTGACCGCGGGACTCTATTTTAATGCAAACGCCGCAACACAAACGCAAATGCCACAACACATCAAAAAGCCACAACACAAACACAAAAGCCACAACACAAACACAAATGCCACAACACATTAAAAAGCCACAACACAAACACAAATGCCACAACACATTAAAAAGCCACAACACATTAAAAAGCCACAACACATTAAAAAGCCACAACCCATCAAAAAGCCACAACACATCAAAAAGCCGCAACACATCAAAAAGCCACAACACATTAAAAAGCCACAACACATTAAAAAGCCACAACGGAAGTGACCGCGGGACTCTATTTTCCGACGGACCGATCAAGCGGCAAGTGAAGAAGAAGAACTACAACATGAAAAGTAAAGGAAACGTCAGTAAAAGTAATTTATTGTTTTATCATTATTCGTTTCACGTTGTAGTTCTTCTTCTTCACTTGCCACTTGATCGGTCCGTCGGAAAACAGAGTCCCGCGGACACTTCCGTTGTGGCTTTTTTTTGGTGTGTTGTGGCATTTGTATTATGGTTATGGTTTAGACCTGGTTTTGTCTTAGTTTAGTCCTGGTTTAGTCTTAGTTTAGACCTGGTTTAGTCTTAGTTTAGACCTGGTTTAGTCTTAGTTTAGACCTGGTTTAGTCTTAGTTTAGTCCTGGTTTTGTCTTAGTTTAGACCTGGTTTAGTCTTAGTTTAGACCTGGTTTAGTCTTAGTTTAGTCCTGGTTTTGTCTTAGTTTAGACCTGGTTTAGTCTTAGTTTAGTCCTGGTTTAGTCTTAGTTTAGTCCTGGTTTTGTCTTAGTTTAGACCTGGTTTAGTCTTAGTTTAGACCTGGTTTTGTCCTGGTTTAATCTTAGTTTAGTTCTGGTTTTGTCTTAGTTTAGACCTGGTTTAGTCCTGGTTTAATCTTAGTTTAGTTCTGGTTTACTCTTGGTTTAGACCTGGTTTAGACCTGGTTTAGTCTTAGTTTAGACCTGGTTCAGTCCTACTTTAGCTCAAACTTGTTAAAAATAGAGACACTGGGACATTTCTTGTATAAAATTGGGACAGATCAGTGTTTTTTGTATAAATCTGCAGGGACAGAGACACAGACTCAAAACTGGGACTGTCCCGGATAAACAGGAACATTTGTTTAACCTAAAGAGACTCAGAGTAAAAGTACAAAAATCCCAAACATCTCGAACATGTCGCTGTTTCCATGAAGTGCAATAACAGCACAGCAGCTCGGCTAAGCTAAGCGGCTAAACCAAACTTCCCCCGTTATCTTCACTTTTACACAAATCAACAAAACAAAACCATTAAACCAGACAAATCCGAGACAAATAAACGTATAAACCGCACAAACCTGACACTTTCTGGAGCTCGGCTTGATCAGGAGCGTGAAAAGGCGCCGCTGTTTCTCTGCGTGACGGACGCGGGGCAGCGGCGGCGCGGGGAGCCTCAGCCCGGACACGCACAGCTCCTCCCCGGGCTCTGGAGCTCCTCTGCCCGGCCTCCGGAGCTCCTCTGCCCGGCCTCTGGAGCTCCTCTGGGACCGCGGGGCTCGGCCTGGGGTCTGCGGGCCGCCGGGACACGGGGGGTGCGGCGGGAGGGACGGCGGAGGGCGGCGGAGGGCGGCGGGGATCTGCGCGGAGGACACCGGGGCTCGTCCCAAACACGGGACCGGGGACTGTCACTGTGAACGTCCGCTGTGCGTGCGTGCGTGCGTCACCTCCGCGGGGCATCATGGGAAATGGAGTCCGGACGTGCGCAGGTCCGCATCATGGATCGATAAATAAAACTTTACTTTACTTTTTTTTCTAAACCAGGACTAAACTAAAACTAGGACTAAACTAAACCAGGACTAAACCAGGTCTAAACCAGGACTAAACTAAACCAGGACTAAACCAGGTCTAAACCAGAACTAAACCAAGACTAAACCAGGTCTAAACCAGGACTAAGCCAGGACTAAACCAGGACTAAACCAGGTCTAAACCAGGACTAAACCAGGACTAAACCAGGACTAAACCAGGTCTAAACCAGGACTAAACCAGGACTAAACCAGGTCTAAACCAGGTCTAAACCATAAATAAAACTTTTATTATTTTATTATATTATAGTTCTTTATTGTTATATTATTTTAACATTATTTTTCTTCAGGACTTATTCAGTATATTATATTATTTTATTATATCCAATCCAACTTTATTTGTAGAGCACATTTTATTAAAAAAATAAAAATAAAAAATCGTTTCAAAAATGCTTAATAATAATAATCAGTAAATAGAGGCAGTACTAAAAAAAAAACTAAAATAAAAACAATAAACAAATACATAAATACATACATAAATAAAATAAAAAATAAAGTATATACTACTACTACTACTACTACTACTAATAATAATAATAAAAAATCAGTAAATAGAGGCAGTACTAAAAAAAAATAATAATACATAAATATATACATAACTAAAAATAAAAATATAAAGTAATAATAATAATAATAATAATAATAATAATAAAATCAGTAAATAGAGGCAGTACTAAAAAAAAAAAAGAAAACAAGAGAAAACAATAAATAAATAAATAAATAAACAGAGGAGTAAGAATAAACAACTCACTGGGTGTTAAAAGCCAGAGAGTAAAAGTGGGTCTGGTTAGTGTCTGTTATTATTATTAGTCTGTTTTTGTTTTAAGTAAAAGAGAAGCTGAGCGCAGGAGGCATGTCCCTGAGTGTGTCACATGACCCCTGGAGTCTGTCGTCATGGTAACACTGTCAAACACTGCAGCTCCCGGGAGCCGAGGCGTCGAACTTTAACTCTGTGTGGTGTTTGTGGAGCCGATGGAGCGGATCAGCCTGGACCGGACTGCACTGCGGGCGCTGGACGAGTACTGCGAGTACACCAGGTCAGGACCAGAGGGACCACGAGCTCCAGGTCACCACGAGGTCCAGGTCACCACGAGCTCCAGGTCACCACGAGTCCAGGTCACCGCGAGGTCCAGGTCACCACGAGCCTTAGGTGACCTTGAGCTTCAGGTCACCTCAAGCCTCAGGTGACCTCGAGCTTCAGGTCACCACGAGCCTCGGATGACCTCGAGCTTCAGGTCACCACGAGCCTCGGTGACCTCGAGCTTCAGGTCACCTCGAGCTTCAGGTCACCATGAGCTCCAGGTCACCACGAGCTTCAGGTCACCATGAGCTCCAGGTCACCACGAGCCTCAGGTCACCTCGAGCTCCAGGTCACCTCGAGCTTCAGGTCACCTCGAGCCTCAGGTCACCTCGAGCTTCAGGTCACCACGAGCCTCAGGTCACCACGAGCCTCAGGTCACCTCGAGCTCTCTCAGGTCACACGAGCTTCAGGTCACCTCGAGATCCAGGTCACTTCGAGCTTCAGGTCACCACGAGCTTCAGGTCACCTCGAGCTTCAGGTCACCTCGAGCTCCAGGTCACCTCGAGCTTCAGGTCACCTCGAGCCTCAGGTCACCACGAGCTTCAGGTCACCTCGAGGTCCAGGTCACCACGAGCCTCAGGTGACCTCGAGCTCCAGGTCACCTCCCCGACCTGCAGCTCCCAGGACGAGCTGAACCTGCTGCTCGTCTGATTTGCTTAAACAAAACAACAACTCTTCAATAACGTCACAAACTTCAAACTCGATACTCAGGACTAAACCAGGACTAAACCAGGACTAAACCAGATCTAAACCAGGACTAAACAAGATCTAAAACCAGGACTAAAACAGGTCTAAACAAAGATCTAAACCAGACTAAACAAGATCTAAACCAGGACTAAACAGATAAACCAGGTCTAAACCAGGACTAAACCAGGACTACCAGGACTAAACCAGGACTAAACCAGGACTAAACCAGGAACCAGGTCTAAACCAGGTCTAAACCAGGACTAAACAAGAAAACTAAACCAGGACTAAACAAGATCTAAACCAGGACTAAACCAGGAGATCTAAACCAGGACTAAACCAGGACTAAACCAGGACTAAACCAGGACTCTAAAACCAGGACTCTAAAACCAGGACTAAACCAGGACTAAACCAGGATCTAAACCAGGTCTAAACCAGGTCTAAACCAGGTCTAAACCAGGTCTAAAACCAGGTCTAAACCAGGACTAAACCAGGTCTAAACCAGGTCTAAACCAGGTCTAAAAACCAGGACTAAAACCAGGACTAAACCAGGACTAAACAAGATCTAAACCAGGACTAAACCAGGATCTAAAACCAGGACTAAACCAGGACTAAACCAGGTCTAAACCAGGTCTAAACCAGGTCTTAAACCAGGACTAAACCAGGTCTAAACCAGGTCTAAACCAGGTCTAAACAAGGATCTAAACCAGGTCTAAACCAGGTCTAAACCAGGACTAAACCAGGTCTAAACCAGGACTAAACCAGGTCTAAACCAGGTCTAAACCAGGACTAAACCAGGACTAAACCAGGACTAAACCAGGACTAAACCAGGACTAAACCAGGACTAAACAGGATAAAATCAGGTCCATGGTTGTTTACTCGTCTGTGTGTCTTATATTTGTTCTGATCCAGTTCCAGATTGTTCTAAAGACGTTCTGAAGGTTCTGTTCTGGTTTTATTTGCTCAAACGAGGATCTAGTTTTAGTTTGATTAGTGTTTGATCTTGACACTCGTGACAAACAAACCAGCGTAAAACTTCATTTCAATTCCTTTTGTTTTCGCTTTTGTTTGTTCTTGTCCAGGATTGTGGGTGAGGACGACGGGGGGACTCTGTTCACGCCGCAGCAGTATGAAGAGTACAAGAGGAGGGTGGTCCCCGGGCGCCTGCACAACCGTCTGTACGTGAGCTACGGGGTCCCCGGGGGCCCCGACTGCAAACTGATCGGCCCCGAGACGCCCTGCTTCTGCACACACCGGTACGACCGAGCCCCCAGGTTCCAAAACGGCGAGGTTCTTCCGGTGGCTGTGGGCCGACTGAGCATGTGCAGTAGAGTCTTTTCTCCTGCGGGCACATGCCAGTGCACGCGAACGCACGCGAACGCACGCACGGAGCGTGGGTTCGTGTATCATGTGATCGCTTTGACCAATCAGAGTGAGAGGAGCAGAGTGTAGCCGAAGTTAATGATTATAAAGTGTTTTTTAAGACAACTGAAGGATTTTGAGATGAGAAAAAGCGTATGATCTAAAAATAGGTAAAAATCACCACAAAATCACATGAGCAGTTTGTGATTATATTGCCTCTATGAAAAAAATCTTGTCTCGGCCCATGGGATTTTTTCCGCTGTAGAACGACTGAGTGTCACTACGACAACTGGAGGCAGCTACAAGCAGCAATACTGTATCCAGTTATTTTAATAGATCCATGGGTACGACGCGCTCCAGCTGCACGACGACAGATTTATAAAACTGAAATGGTGCTGTTAGGCGGCGCTACCGTGTCATTTTTCAATATTTTTTTGCACAGATTGAATTTTGGGTTTAAAATGGTACTTTTCGTTAATTCTCTGGGCATCAGGACGGCTCTGGATGCGGTTTACTTAATCCCGACCGTCCAAAAGTGTCCAGAAATACTAAAAATACAGAACTAAGAGCCGCGCTGATGTTTGTGTCCAGGTACAAGCAGCACCAGACTGAGTTGGAGCAGCTCCCGGCACAGCGCCCCCTGGAGCTGGCGTGTCGTGTGCGTGGGTGCTCGTGCTCTCGGTACCAGTACGTCCCTCACACGGGCTCCAGACCCGTGCGCTGCAGCTGCAAACATCTGCCTGAGGAGCACCAGGCCTCCGGGGGGCACCACTGCTCCAGATGTGAGTGAGAGAGCAGCTCTGGGCTCTTATAGACGATAGAACTGTTTTCACAAAGGCCAGTAGTGCTGCACTTAAGGTTTACAAAACTTCTAGTTACTGTTTTTCCGTGTCAAAATGTAAATGCCTTACAACTTGTCTCAAAATGGCTTCGTGTGTCACACCTGACTTTGAATGTGAAAAAACCAGTTTCTGCACAAACAAAAAACTGTGACTTTGAAGTGACTTTGCACAATGAGAAAATTCAAGCAGTCAGTGAAGTTAAATACCTCAGCCTCATTCTAGACGAAAATTTTAAAATTTATCGGTCACACAAAATACTTGGCGAAGAAGATTAAAACTAGTCTCAGTTGGTTTCGTTTCATACGTGAAGATCTATCGCTCCACATGAACGCGATGATCTTCTCTCATCGATCTTATTGTATCACCTCATGGTCCCAGGCTCCTCAAACACACTGAAACAGCTTTGTTCATTTTACAAACTCACCTTTAAGGTCCTTGACAAAAAGCCCAAACACCAGCACCACTGTGACATTATAAAGAAACATCAACTTTTTAACTTTGAAAATTTTACCATTTTTAATCATCTTAAATTATTTTTTAAGTGTCTTAACCACTGCACTCAGAATTTACCAGGACCATAAAATGTTCACACAGAGCGAACACAAGAGGAGCTGCTCGTGGTGATTGTGTTGTTCCCAGGTACAAGACAAACTCTTGGTCAGTCCTCGTTCTCTTTTCAAAGGGGTCAGTCTGTGGAACTGTTCACCTTTTAAAATTGGAAACCAACAACAACAAATTTAAAAGGAAACTAAAATTATTGTATGTTTCCAATCAAAACTGCATCCAGTGAAAATGTTCTGTATATATTTTATCTGTATGTAACTTTTGCGTCTTTTATTCTCTGTTTTTATGTGTGTAGTTTATATTTTTATATGGACAGTGTTGAAAACTCGCTCTTGTGCTAAAACACTCAAAGCATCTGGCTTGTCTAATGCGATTGTCATGTCCTTAATAAACATAAATCTATAAATCTAAATGTTTGGCCTATTCTAGCCAGTCTGGCGCCACCTAGTGCCTCTGCTCAATTCCAGATTCCAGATTTTCCCAGTTTTGCTGAACAAGATTTTTGTGAGGAAGGAATTCATCTCCTGGTCTCAAATAAAAGCCTGGTCTGTTAGGTGACTGAAACAAACAAACTCCTCGGATATTATTTGGTATTTTACGGTAGTGCAAAAGGCGTTTAGTGCAAGGAACAAGGGTTACTTATTGCCAAAGGAACAACATGTCTGTGGAAACTGGAGTCAGGTCTGTGGAGAGGCGAGCCGTCTCACTGTGTGGAGTCTTTGTGTTCCTGTAGGTCTCTGTCGGGGGTTCCACAGTCCCTCTGCCTGTGGGTGTGGTCGGCCCTACTCCGCCCATCGCACTCTGGTCAGTGTCAACGACAACAACACTCACGCTGGGGGTGTCCCACATGTGTCTCTGTGGTGGAAAGTTCAGCAGTTACCAGGGAAACACAACGTACACGTTCACAAACACAAACACAAAAGTGTTAAGATAAAAAAAAATACAAAACAGATTTTTTCTTGCACATTTTCAGGAGGCTGTGATCATGATCCTAAACCAAAGATGTTCATTTTGTTTCCTCGTGCACTTGAACTTCTTGGGTTATTTTTAAAAGACAATACAGTAAATAAAATAAAAGCAATAAACAGATTTAGATATTATTTAAGATAACTTGTGAAGTAAAATGATCTCGCTGCATGTATGGATCATATATTACGACGGAGTATAAGGGTCAGATAAAAAAATAATAATAATAAAGATGCTGGTGCTACGAGAATAAAGTCGTAACATTTAGACATTAAAGTCGTAATATTATGAGAATAAAGTCGAAGCCAGAAAAAGTCATAATTTTACGAGAATAAAGTAGTAATTTTATGAGAATAAAGTTGTAGTCAAAATAAAGTGGTAATATTAGGAGAATGCTGCTGCTCGGAAAGTCTGAATGAGTCTGAGGCTGAAGCTCTGGAGAATTTGGAGCATTTTGTAAAGGAGAAGAATCCGTGTGTCATTTGTTCATTCGACTGAAAAATGACTGAATCAGGACTAACCCAGGTCCGGAACCAAACCAGAACTAAGACCTGGATTGAGACCAGGACTTAGACCGGGACCAGACCAGGACTGAAAGCAGTTTAGTCCTGGTTTAAGTCACGGAAATGGGAAATGGTGTTTCCGTGACTTAAAAACGCGATGCGAGACTATTGCGCCGCATACGGACTGAACCAGGACTGAATCAGGACTGAATCAGGACTAAACCAGGACTTAAACTATTTTCAGTCCCGGTCTGGTCCCGGTATCACGGTTTGGTCCTGGTGTGTCCTGGTCTCAGTCCCAGTCTCAGTCCTGGTCCTGTTCCCGGTCTCAATCCTGGTCTCAATCCTGGTCTGGTCCCAGACCTGGTTTAGTCCTGGTTCAGTCCTGGTTCAGTCCGGAGGCACAAATAATGAAGAAAATTGTGTTTTGTTTTGTTTGTTTTTTATTTTTGGTTTTATATTGAAAAACAAGGTTCTTCTTCTGCCGCATTTTTCACTTTGACTTTGATTTTATTACGACTTCATTCTCGTGATATTAAGACTTTATTCTCATAATATTATGACTTTAATGTTGATGTTACGACTTTATTCTCGTAGCGCCAGCATCTTTTTTTTTTTTTTTTTTCTGACCCTTTTACTCCGTCGTAATATATCAAACAGAAATGGTAATAATAAATTCTAAATAAGAAGCAAAAAACAGCAAGAGACTTTTACTCGAGTACTTTTCCTAAATCCTTTTCGACTCTTACGTCAGTCTTTTCTTGGCCCTTTTCTTGGTCCTTCTGGTTGCAGGTGGAGAGTGGTGAGGAGAGACAGGCCCGTGGAGCTCCTGTGGGTCGGGCCGTTCCGTACCAGGCCATGGGGGGTTTGACCGGGTTCAGCTTCGCTCATGGACGGGTACCTCAGACTGGACCCGAGCGGAGCAGGTCTCACCCAGTCTACACGGGAGAGTCCAGCTCAACAACCTCAAGAATCTAAATAAAATCAAACTGTACAAGTTAGAGATACTTTATCTTCATATATTCATTTTATTTGTTTGATTACAACAACAACAACAACAACAGAGAACAAGGACATGTACGGGACCTGGTGCTCAAAAGGAGGATTACATTTTAAAACTTATAGTGTCCAACCCTGATTGTTTTACATAATCATGTGATTGACTATACACACATACACACACATATAGACATACACACATACAAACAATATATATATATATATATATATATATATACACACATATATATATATATACACATATATATATATATATATATACACACATATAGACACACACATATATAATATATATACACACACACACACACACATAGACACATATATAATATACACACACACACACAATACATACATATATACATACAGACATACAGACACACACAGTCAAATATACTTAATTTTAAACTTCAAATATAAAGGCAAAAATACAGGAAAACAATTTCTCACCTGGAGACTGGATGAGATGAATAAAAGTGCAGGTTTGACACTGAAGGGGCAGGTTTTCATATTCATTGAATTAAACTTCAGTTTGTATCTTTCACGGTCGACGAGCAGCAGAGTGCTCATGTACTGAGTCGTCATATTGATCTGGTGTTTTCTGTTATTATCTGCACCTGGAGTTGTGTCTGAATCACGTTTATTGACCCTAGTTTACATTAAAGTTCATGACAGGTTCGTTTGTTTCCCCGGAAAGGGGCGGGAACGTCTCTCACCAGGTAAGTTCCCGGATGTGCTGCTACAGGCTAATGCTAATGCTAATGCTAATGCTCGGAGAACAGCAGGTGTGTGACAGAAGTTATGACGAGTTCAAGTTCAAGTCAAAGTGCGTTCGAGGAACAGTTTTAGGGAGTAAAATGTCTTATTATCTTCTGCGGGACCTTCAGCCAAGAAAGAACAGAAGCATTAAACTGGAACGAGTCCGTTTGTCTGCGGTGAGATTCTCTGGCTCTTGTTCTGATTCACACACCGGCTAATGGCGGCTACAGACTTTAACCCTCCACAGTGAAACACGAGGAGAGAAACACCGCCGGGACCAGAACCCACACGCTGCTGGACTCCGGGCAGCGGCTGATCACGGACCAGACTGGACCAGACTGGACCAGACTGGACCAGACTGGACCAGACTGGACCAGACTGGACCAGACTGGACCAGACTGGACCAGGATTTGGACCAGTTTCATCTCTTCATATTTGGACAATTAACTTTTGGAGACAGAAACAGTGAGACAGAGAATAAAGGAAACACTCTGCTTCAGACTCTGGAGAAGGTAAGACGTTTGTTTTTATTAGTTTGGGGAAAATTGTGTTATAGTTAAATAATTAAATAGTTAATAGTTAAATAAATAGTAAATAATTAAATAAATAGTTAAATAATGTTATAATAGTTAAATAGTTAAATAAATGTTGTAATTAAATAGTTAAATAATGTTAATAGTTTAAATAGTTAAATAATGTTAAATAAATTAAATAGTTAAATAAATAATGTTAAATAGTTAAATAGTTAAATAATATGTTGTTAAATAGTTAAATAGTTAAATAATGTTATAAATAAATAGTTAAATAGTTAAATAATAAGTTAAATAGTTTAAATAGTGTTATAAATAGTTAAAATAGTGTTATAGTTAAATAGTTAAATAATGTTATAGTTAAATTAAATAGTTAAATAGTGTTATAAAGTTAAATAATATTATAGTTAAATAGTTAAATAATGTTATAGTTAAATAGTTAAATAATGTTATAATTAAATAGTTAAATAGTGTTATAGTTAAATAGTGTTATAGTGTTAATAGTTAAATTGTTTTAGTGTTAATAGTTAAATAGTGTTTAGTGTTAATAGTTAATAGTGTTAAAGTGTTAATATTTAAATAGTGTTATAGTTAAATAGTGTTATAGTGTTAATATTTAAATAGTGTTATAGTTAAATAGTGTTTATAGTTAAATAGTGTTATAGTTAAATAGTGTTATAGTTAAATAGTGTTATAGTTAGTGTTAAATAGTTTAAAGTGTTTAATAGTTAAATAGTGTTATAGTTAAATAGTGTTAATAGTTAAAAATAGTGTTATAGTTAAATAGTGTTGTAGTTAAATAGTGTTAAAGTGTTAATATTTAAATAGTGTTAAAGTGTTAATATTTAAATAGTGTTAAAGTGTTAATAAGTAAACAGTTGTGACGGACAAATGAGTCGTATCTCCGGAGCTCGTCTCGTTCTTTCTGCCTCGGAGCTCATCTCGCAGCAGCCGCTCACGTGACCAAAGTATCAAAGTGTCGGCCCCTCCCCCTGCTGCTTCGCTCTGCGTGTCGATCGCTTCGGTGTATCGAAGCGTTTCATTGGCTCGGCGAATGTTCCGTTCTGCGATTGGTTCAGAGTGTTCGGTGCACTTCCGCGGTTTGACGAGCGCTAAACTACTACAGGATAAAAGATGCACCGATATTTGTTAAAAATGTTGGGTCGTGAGGAGGATTGTGTGACGTTAGTGCTGATTTTGGCGACTTTTGGCGTTTGTTTCATTTTCGATGGCGTCAAGTACAAGTGGAAAAACAAGGTAACCTCTTTTCTTATTTACAACTATTTATGTTGCTCTTTACATATTATTTTAAATCATCATTATTATTATTTTATTATTATTATTGTATTGTGGGTCGTGTGCTGGTTTGCAATGGTTAAATTTGTCCACTAGAGGTCAGTGTTTCTCCAAGACCTCAGACACGTCCAACCATCTGAGACAATATTTAGTGTTAATAGTTCAATTGTGTTTTAGTGTTAATAGTTAAATAGTTTTTATAGTTTTAATAGTTAAATAATGTTAAAGTGTTAATAGTTAAATAGTTTTTATAGTTTTAATAGTTAAATAATGTTAAAGTGTTAATAGTTAAATAGTTTTTATAGTTTTAATAGTTAAATAGTGTTAAAGTGTTAATAGTTAAATAGTTTTAATAGTTAAATAATGTTAAAGTGTTAATAGTTAAATTGTTTTTATAGTTTTAATAGTTCAATTGTGTTAAAGTGTTAATAGTTAAATTGTGTTTTAATGTTAATGGTTAAATTGTGTTTTAATGTTAATAGTTAAATTGTGTTTTAGTGTTAATAGTTAAATTGTTTTTATAGTTTTAATAGTTAAATAATGTTAAAGTGTTAATAGTTAAATTGTGTTTTAGTGTTAATAGTTAAATAGTTTTTATAGTTTTAATAGTTAAATAATGTTAAAGTGTTAATAGTTAAATAGTTTTTATAGTTTTAATAGTTAAATAATGTTAAAGTGTTAATAGTTAAATTGTTTTTATAGTTTTAATAGTTAAATAATGTTAAAGTGTTAATAGTTAAATTGTGTTTTAGTGTTAATAGTTAAATTGTTTTTATAGTTTTAATAGTTAAATAGTGTGTAAATGAGCTGCTGGGTGTGGTGGAGCAGCGCTGATGCCGTGTAAATGATCACATTTTTCTGAAGCGCTTTTTCACATTCAAGGTAGAAAAGCGTTTTACAACAAGGAACTACTTACCCATTCTCTCTCTCACACACAGGGTGGGTCTTGCCCAAGGACACAACAACAGCATTCATCTGTGGGAGCTTTAATCACACCAGCACATCTGACCTCTCAACCCAACACTACCAACTGAGCTACTGCTGATATTTAGACTTCACTGTAAAAGCAGTAAAAAATAAATAAAATAAATAAACTGGACACCTAGTGGAAGAATTTGGTATGACACCTGTAACTGAATATTACCAGTTACAGGTGTCATACCAAATTTCTCCACTGGGTGTCAGTAATATCGTGGTTAAAGGAGAATGATTTGGAATGGAAGTATAATAAAATCTTATAGAGTCTTTGCACCGTCACGTGTCGCCCATGGCAACGGTAACCTACGCCGCCATGACACCGGAACACACTATGTCACTGACTTCAGCAGCATCGGAGAAACATGGGCAGGTTTTGTTGTGTATTTGGTTGTTCTAGACGCTCTGAAAGGGATAAAACGAATCGATTCTTCTCTGTTCCTCTGGAAATGACTCATCAGGATCAAACAAGGGAATTATGTCTAGAAACATAAACCACGAAGAGATTTCCAATGGTCCCATCAAGACACACTCACGTCACTTTCATCAAGGTATTTGCTATTTAAATAGTTTCATAGTTTATTTAATGAGAGAAGCACATTTACTGAACTAAAATGTAAAAAGAAAACATTTGCAGTAGAAACTGTATGTTCCAGCACATATAAACATGTCACTCGTCGTAGGACCATGTTTTTTTTTTGTCTTGTTTATCCACAACTTTGTCTTCTAGAATTAATCTCTTTTTGTGAGTGGATCTTTCTAACGTTTGCGAGGATCTTTTCATGGTCGATTCTTTCGAGGTTCGGCTCACAGACTCTTCGACTCGTGCGTCGTGTTGATCACAGGAGCCAGTGTGGGTTCGTTGAATCGTAAACTAGTGCAGGTTTTCCTGGATAAATTAATGAAATTTTAGTTCAGTAAATGTGCTTCTTTCATTAAATAAACTATGAAACAATTTAAATAGTAAATACCTTGATGAAACTTCGGGTGTCTTGATGGAACCATTGGAAATCTCTTCGTGGTTTATGTTCACTAGACATAATCCGCGTCTTTTTTTTGATAATTCCCTTGTTTGATCCTGATGAGTCATTTCCAGAGGAACAGTGAAGAAATGAATTGTTTTATCTCTTTCAGAGCGTCTAGAACAACCAAATACACAACAAAACCTGCCCATGTTTCTCTGATGCTGCTGAAGTCAGTGACATAGTGTGTCCGGTGTCATGGCGGCGTAGGTACCGTTGCTATGGGGACACGTGATGGTGCAAAGACTCTATTGTTTTAGTTCTTATAGATTAAGTTTTACCAGAATTGGCGCAGTTCGGTGTCAGCTGTTTTACACACTGTCGTCAGAACAGAGAAGCTGCTGATCAACAAGCTGTTTTTGTTTATTTACAGGTGAGTC